TATATAAAATCACGTTGAAACTATTAGGAGTGAAGAAATAATGGAAAACGTGGACAAAGTCGCTTGCGGCCACTAGTCAAACTATAAAGAAAGATTATAAACCAGCAAGAAAAGGTAACGCGGATGTGAACGCTAAATATTATAATACTTAAATCGTTAAGAGAGTAAATCCACGTATTCGAGTGCGTTATTATAATGATATAGTGGCGAGTTATTTTCATACTGTTTGGATATTTAATCAATACTAGTGGTCGACGGATAATCCGAATTCGACCTTTGTTTTCTTGAATAAAATATCTTAAAACAATTGAAAGTATTTCAAATGAAGATAAACCTTTATTGTGTTTTGAATTATAATTTTATTTGATCAAACCTTTTTTGCTTTAAAATCGCTGCGTACGACGTCTACTATGCTGTTTTTAGTAGAACATTATAGCTTTATTGCAAGGAAAACTAAGTTAAATCGACTTTAGTGATTTTAAGATAAACCGGTCGCATTGTGTTGTAGTTTCGAACGAAATAAAAGTGGCCGACGACGCTATATGAAGGTATATAAAACTCACAATGAAACAAGGGAGTGGTTCACCTTGAGAGAGGCGCCTCGCAACGATTCCCAAAATAAAGTACCGCCGACACAAGTGTAGCCACAGCAGAATTACAGCTAAAACACAGTCTCGTACATATATTATTGATTATAAATTATTTTTGTAAACGATATTAATATTATAAAAAGGTAAAAGTGTTCCGAGACACTGAACTGTAACATTCTTTGACGTTTTACGTTCACCGTCGATGGTGGGTGCGTTAAAATTTTTACATTAGTTCCCGAAATCAAACTAGATGTCGCTACGGTACGTTCTTGATTTCTCCATGAAAACCCTTCCAGTTTTCTTTCATGTTTAAAAATAAACTAGTTTTCAAAACTCAATAAACAACTCATATTCAATTTGTATTTTTTCGTATTTGTATTAATATCTAAGTTTCGAAGTTTTCAAATTTCAGTTTTGTAACATGTTAGTTAAAAGGAATGGAAATTACTGTCTTTGGTTCATTCGTTTCCTGCAAAGATCAAATTTTGCTAGAGTCGCCATCTAGTGAAGGTGCTTTTTTAGTGCTTTTGTTTTTTTTAATACCTCCTCATTGTGCCGTTTCGTACTATTGATTGGGTACTCTAGCATTCACTAGCGCTAAGGGCTATATTGCAAAAGGACTTTATATGCCTCGACTCAGGACGTCAAGCGAGTCGTGACAACGCATTTTTGCTACCTTATTAATTATTATAGGCTGTGTTACTTCGTGACTATGTGGCTTAATTAATGAAACCAATTTAAAATCAGTTTTAGAGTAAATCTATTCGAAAAACGTTATAAGAATCAAATTCCACTTTATAATAATACTTGAAAGTTTTCCGCGACTTCGCACGTATCTATAGCCACCGCCTATGATGTAGCTTCCCGCTAGTAAAAGAATTTTCAGTATTTCGGAAGATGTTCCTGTGCAAATAAACAAAATTATATAAAACACTCTTTATGATATTAGTATAGACTATGCATCCTATTTATTTGTCTGTCCTATCGAACGCATACTCAAAATTCAGTGACGATTTTTTTCTATTAATAGGCTTGTGTCCTACAAGTGAAAATACGGGTTTTTGTTATATCTTCGACAAATATGAACCATTTTAACTTATAAATGTTTAACAAAACAAATTTTAAGTCAATGATTTGGAAAATATTATGCTTTGAAAACTTGAAAAAAGTAGAGAAAATCTACTACATAAATTTGCTAAAATACATAAGGCATTAAATTAGATATAAAAAATGTTACAACTTTCATTATAACAGCTATAAACATAAACGCACAAATAACAAAGATATTACAAAAAATGTCCAGACGGCCATACATTTTTCGCTACTGTAGCACCGTGTGACGTCACTGAGTGCCTTGAATTTGTAGGGAGCGTTTTCGGCCAACTAGCAGCAGTTCTACAAACACAGCAACGTATCTCCGAAACTATTAATCGCAGACATGCTGTTACTTCTACATTATTTCTCAAATGTTAATGGACTATTTATTTAGGAAATAAAAAAAAGTTGGCAACTAGCCTATTGTGGAAAACGTTATAGTCACTCTCACACTCTCATAGTTACATTGATTCTCAAAATTCGTCTCTGATTCCATTATCACACAAGATAACAAGTATCGCAGGTCACATATTCGCCAAACAATCTAAATTACTTTCGAGAAATCTTATTTTATATTTAAACAAAGGTTATCGCTAGCTGTTTTTATAATATTACGCTTCCATAGGGTGCTTGTAAACGATTAAGAAAACGCGAAGAACTTAGATAGCATGGGCGTCATTTTATTATTTAAGAATCTTTTTTTTCATGGCCTTCGTTCCGTTATACACAGAAATTCTGCCAACATCCCGCTGTGAGAGAGATACGAGACTCGAGAGACTGATCTTTAGTTACAATTAACAATCCGATAAAACTTTGGGTAGCAACAAGGACAATGATAAGTTTTTATATTGTTATCTGACACTAGCCGTTTTCCTGCGACTTGGCCCATATAAATTAAAGCCTACTTCATCCGCGTATGAAGTAGCTTCCATAGGCGAAATAATTTTTAAAATCCGTTCGGTAATTTCGGAGCAAACAAACAAACGATTATATCTTCATTATGTATATATTAATCGAGTAAAATACCTGTATATACAAACATAACTAAAAAGAATATTCGTTTATAAGTTGAACCTGTTAATTTCTAGTACTTCTGTAATACTACTGATAAATTTTGTCACTAAAAAGGTATCATAACCGTTTAATGCGTACAACAGATATTTTTTATGCATGAGTGCATTTTTTTAATATTAAGAAAATGTTATTAATTCACGTTTCGACCTTGACAGAATTGTCACAAATACCAAGTTATTTTGACTTTATCTAGGGTCACAAGTGAGCGACAAGACGACAAGCCAAACAAAGCATTAGGATACTACATACTAAATCTCTAAACGCTTCGTCGTTTTTTAAACTCTCGTAATTAGGATTTGGATTGTTAGTTAGATTTTGGATGCCGGTACATCCTCTTAAATAACAATGCGATGTCAACAAAGTAACGTGTGACTTTGACTAGTTAAATAAATCAATTTGTAATTAGTATTCTCTATAACAATACGAACCATCATCATACACAATAGCAAACCAGACTGACTGTATAACACTAATCAGAATATAGAATAGGTATCTATTATCAAGGTGAACCTGTCGTCAAAAAACTATCGACCCTGACATGCCAAATTATTTTTAGTATTACAGTTTAGATATTAAAAGTCGTATGTATTATTATTTACGCATCCCGGGTCTTGTTTTTGATAGTAGATGTTCTTAATAATGGCATGCGAGTGTTGCTAGTACCACTTTTTAAACCAAGTTTATTTTAAAGCTGAGCTAATAATAGTTCAAGCACTTGTTACTTTTCGCTACTATAGAGCGTATTGTCATAAATGTTTAGGCAATCCACCCAAACAGCCGAAAGAAATATTTTTACAAATATTTAAACTTTCGATAAAGACAAAATTTGTTCTAAAACAAAATACTGAATTTTTAAAGCAATTTTCATTAAGAATATTATATGATTTTTTGCACACATAATTTGATTAAATATTATTTTACCTAGCATCAGGTACATTTATAAAAATCCCACTAGGTACAGTGAACAGCACTTCAGGGTACATAGAACTGCCAAGTTTCTCCACTTGATTTATAACCTTAATTCATTGTGGGTAGTTCATAGTCAATTGAGGAATTTGTCATATTATGGAAGGTGTGCGTGAAGTCGTGTGTACACAGCGTGGGAAAATTATATTTCCCGTTTAGTGTCCTGACATCATCATTGAGTGAGTTGGAGTCAGAAATTAGTTTATAGAATGAAACGATATCGAAATTAATTCGTATTATTAGATGACGTCATGTGTTAGGTACTTGAGCAATTAATAAATATAAGGAAGATGAGAAGTACGGGATATTTTATAAGCCATAGGCGTCGCCATCTTAATTGGCTACTGTCAAGTATATATGTGCAAATAAAATTATTATTCATTCATTCATTAATTCAAATCAGCACATAAATGACGAATTAAATCAAGATTAAACAAATAAACTGCTTAGAGTATCTCAGGTACAAAGATGAACTCGAAGCAATTAGTATTTTTACTAAAGTACATATTTAACTTAAGACAAAAAAAAAATAAAAAGGGAAACAATAGTTATAAAAAAAACTTTTAATAAACGAATATGAACTGCAGCTTCCTAAAGGATAGAATAACTCATACTTGTATTATTTATAAGTTTCATTAGGCTTGTGTCCTAGAAGTGAAAATAAAGGTTTCTGTTATATAATCGGAAAATATAAAACATTTTAACTTCTAAATATTTAATAAAATAAATTTCATGACACTAATTTTATATTGGCATTAAACTAGTTACATTGTAGCAATGAAAAGTATTGATGTAAAGCTATGACTCCGAATGCAAACGCCTAATATCCAATAAATAATTTATTGCTTACTTCACAAGGTGAATCCTTAAGCTAGGGTCCGTGTAACCAATTATATTCAATTAACATACGAAAGATTTACAATAAATTATTTTCAATTTAAGATATATTGTCAAGCAACCGAATGTTTAAAATCGGTCCAATAGTTTCAGAGCCTATTCGTTGCAAAAAACATACAAACAAACAATCAAATCTTTCCTCTTTATAATATTATTATAGAAGTATAGATTATATTACGTTACATGTAAGTTGTAACGTTTGTTTGATGCGAACGTAGTTGACGTTGTAGAGAAACCTCAATGGTTTCTGAAAATATTTGTATGAATTGAATTTGATTAATTTTCTATAGAATTCGATAATAAATTAAATGCAGAAAAGACATAGACAATTTGTCTTCGTTATATAAGATATTCCTCCTCTTTTGTTGCAGATAAAAAATGACGAAGTGCCTATTCGACAAATGCTGCGGTTGCATCGAGCTGAGGACTGGTTGCCTCATCATAGGCTACCTGAACTTGGTAACACTCGGATCTATATCTATTACTTAATTTATTATAAATAATTGACTCATAATCATCAGTCTATTAATATCCCTACTGCTGGGCTACATTCATAGAGGAGGCTCCCTATGGATGGAATCGAATCAAATAGATAAAACCGGGATCATCTGCTTAACGTGCTTTCCGAAACACGCTATCGAGCCTTTCACAATCATTAAATAGATATTTATTTACTTCCATAGCCTAGTGGTTCACAGGCCCGGTTTTTGGCGCTATGAATTCGATTCCCGGCCGGTTCAATGTAGAAAATGGACTTTTATATAGTGTCGTGACTGGGTGTAGTGGTACCTTCGTTGTCTTAGATACACGATAACACGGGGGTTTTAGCTACTCATCCTCGAATCTGAGCAATGAACGGTGTTGTATAATATTTATTTTTTATTAATAATTCAGTAAGGCTGTTTAGCCTTTAAAGTATTTTTCTGTTATCAATGCAGTGCCGCAGCCTCGATGTGTATTTATCGTGAAACACATTGCATCAACAAATAACTGAGTAAAACCACAGTAAAACTAAAGATACCAGCCCACTGGTGATATTTTGTTTCTACTGCCGTTTTACCGTCTTTATGGAAACCATCAGTCGTACTGTCAAAGTGATCGTACGAGACCGAACCAGTAACAGAAGCACGTCGACAGAAATAATAAGTTGCGTTGACAAAATATCTGCAGTGCGCTCATTATCTAATTGTCATGCATTTGTCATGTGTTCACGGATCCCGCAAGGATTCTGTGGCAAGAGACACTATGTCAAATTGACAAAGGGACCGTCACGCGTAGCACGACACATTGACGAACTCGAGAACGTTTTGAACGGTTATGGCCAAACCTCATTTACCATCTATAAGGAAGGTCTGAGCTCCTGTGGTGGGGACCAGGGCTGATGAATGATGATAACCTCAAAAAGAAAACACGGAAGACTTACAGCATTTATCATTGAGAAGATAAATTTTAATTAAATTTTATCAATTTAGCTTTCACAACGCTATACTGATAAATGCACTTAATGAAAACTGCTTAAAAAACCATTTTGTCCCTGGCGCTCTGGAGATGGGTTCGAGTTCGACCTTTCGCAATCCGTGTGACTACTCTGATCACTGAGCTACCCAGGACCTAACAGGACCGACGAAGTTTTCAAGTACATACTTGTGACATTTTCGCAACTTCAGAGCGTATTTTCATCAATGTTCAGGCTATCCACCCAAACAGTCGAAAGATGTACTCATTTTTTATTTATACGTATAGAAGATATTTCGTATTAAATATTTCCTTTCTTTCTCTGTACAGATTGGAGCTATACTAGGCATACTGACCGCCGCTATCTTGGTTCTCGGCACCGGTATCGCATTGAGCGACAGTGAAGTTAGAGACCAGTTCAAACATGAGTTTAAAGAAGCCGGAGCAGCGGTTGCCACAGCCGTCGTGGTGACAGCTGTGATTCTTATTATACTCTTCGTTTTGTTCTTCGCCATGATCATAGTCTACTTAGTCGGCATTCATCAGGTAAGATCTCAGAGACTCTTACAGAGGCATTACTATACCATTTGAGGCCAATGGCAAATTCAGCGGACATTCATTTTTTTAAATTAATTGTGTAATAATAAATGTCCGGAGTAAGGAGTCTCCTCCGACCGGGGCCCCTTCCAGCTGGGAGCCCGTGGCATTTTTCCGACTTTCCATCCTATAGTTAAGCCACTGGACTCTTATCACCATCAACATACGTTTGTGGAGCTTAATTATAGTGCTATAAACAGATTACAATATACTGTAAATCAATAGTTCTAAATTCTCCAAATGACGATGGTACATAATTTTTTTTTAAATTATCGTTTAAATACGTTTTTGAGATATTTATATTAAAAAAATACAACGAAAAGCTTTAGCATATTTAGTTTTTTAATCTAGAAGCGTGATATATTTTTATACATCATAAAATAATTAGTAAAATCCTATGGTAATGGTGGCGGATCATGATCCAGCAGGATGCTGTATCAAAGCAAGCCAATTAAAAAAGTTGCAACAACATGGTTTATTAGTCGAGAACAAAAAATGTGCACTTGCGAGTGCCTACAATTGCAGGCAAATATAATTTGTTCACTCAAGAGCACATCGGATTATATAAAAATGACAAATTTCCTCAATTATATGTACCTCTACATTTCTCTTAATATCCTATAAATTAATAAACCTCTGATGACCATAAAAGTTTAAAATAATCTATTATAGTCAGGGGTAAAAAAAAGCAATTAATAAAGTTATATAAATATTTTGTGCTGATAATTTAATTCATATAATGATACAAGAGGCGTGCAGACGGGATAAGAATACTCACCTTCAAAAATCTGCGCGGAGGTTGAGGCTCAAGCTGGTACACAAGAATCCAGAGACCTTTATTGTAAAATCCGTTCCATAACAAAATCCTTGTCCACTCGAACTTGGGTTGTGGAAAATGCTCAAGGAGAGACGGTAACCGAATTGGACTCTATCTCGGAAACTTGGAGGGAATATTGTCAGTCTCTATTTCATGATCCACAGTCGCAATGTTTTCCACCAACCATACCTGATAATGATGAAATGGAGCCTGACATATTAAAGGATGAAGTCAGATCAGCCATAAACCACCTCAAGAATGGTAAAGCGACAGGAAGAGATTGCGTCCCTATAGAAATCATTAAGGCATTAGGAGAGAATGTTGTGCGGATGTTCCATGCATTGTGTAATAATATCTGGAAGACCGGCGTTTGGCCGCGGGACTGGGCACATACAGTGTTTGTACCATTACACAAGAAGGGTTCTACCAGAACTTGCAGCAATTATCGTCTAATTGCTTTGATTCCCCATGCCAGTAAAATCCTTCTGGATATAATTAACGAGCGCTTGAAGTCCTACCTATCTAAAGAGATCTCACCCCAGCTGAGTGGCTTCGTTAAAGACAAGGGTACACGTGAGCAGATTCTGAATGTTCGCCAGATTATAGAGAAGTCCCGATAGTTCAATAGACTTACATACATTTGTTTCGTAGATTTGTCAAAGGCTTTTGATTCGGTAAAATGGCCGAAGCTTTGGGGTACACTTTTGGATATGGGCGCTCCAAAACACCTGGTGTCGCTACTCAGGTACCTTTACGAAAATGGGACGGCCTCGGTGAGGACGGACGAGGTTCTCTCTGACGACTTCCATCCTAATGCAGGGGTCCGACAAGGATGCATCATCTCCCCGTTACTGTTTAACACCTACACAGAACTTATAATGAGAATCGCTCTTGAAGGTTGGAATGATGGTGTTATCGTTGGAGGACAAAAAATTACAAATCTGCGCTACGCGGACGATACCACGCTTTTCGCAAGTAGTGCTTAAGACATGGAAGAACTTCTGCGCAGAATGGAACAGGCCAGTCTTAACTTTGGTCTCAAAATAAATCGGAGTAAGACCAAAATGATGATTATTGACCGTGCAAACGTTTCGACAGAGGTTACACAAATAGCGAATTGTGAGGTACTAGGGGCACTCATATCAAATAATGGCGGCTGCATAGACGAGATCAAGCGGCGAATGGCAAATCTAGGTCAGCTATGGACAAGCTGAAGAAAATATAGAAGGATCGAAATATTACCAAAGCCACAGAAACACGACTTGTCAAGGCTCTCGTATTCCCCATTTTCCTCTATGCTGCTCTTGTGATGTGGTGCTGGAGAAGAATGCTCGGTATATCAATATCATGGAATTCTGAACCAATGAATCCATTCTTCTTGAGCTAGGCATCAAACAAAGATTGTCGAGCATAGTGCGAGCTCGTGTTCTTACTTTCTTTGGCCACATAATACGACGCGGGGGCGAATCCATGGAGGGCCTGGTAGTGCAGGAAAGATTGAGGGTACTAGAACACGCGGCAGATCACCCATGAGGTGGACCGATCAAATAAAGAAAACATTAAACGAACCGCTGCATGAATGCACGAGAAGAGCGAGAGTTCTGGAGGAGTGGCGTCGCATTGTGAAGCAGGCCACTAATGTCGACTTGACGACCACGACCACTTTGTCAAGAGTGTAGCGCCTAAGAAGAAGAAATGTTTACATAATTTTAAAATTGAAGTATTGTGAATGTGTCCAATAAGTATTGTTTGAAGATAGCTATGCTCTTAATTATAATAAGACAATAAACATCTTATATCCGTATCTATAGTCAAGTAAAAATTATAACAAATATTTTTCTATACTAATATAATAGAAATATTTGATTGTATGTTTGCATCGAATAGACTCCGAAAGTGCTGGACCAATTTCAAAAATTATTTCAACCACGTGTAGCGATATCATACATCATAAAGTCAAAGTTGACATAAACTATAATTTACGCATGCGAAATCGTGGGATCCGAAGCATCTTAACAATATGTAATATAAATGCGTTTTATCCGTGAAAAGTTATTTTATATCCATGTTCTTTTTAAGTGAAAGATCTAAATCTGTCTTCTGTCCAATATCATGAAGCTTATTGTTGTTTTTTACAGAACAAGAGGGGCCACGTGAAGGCATACATGATTTTCTCAGTGATCTTCTTGGTTATCTTAACGATTATGTTCTTCGTTGGTTTGGCAAATCCACCGGTTTCAGCTAGCGACGTCTGCTCTAAGATCCTCAACATTTGTACGTATTTAAATATTGTAACAAGCCTTGTGCGATAAAGCAGGACTTAACATATAATTTAACAACTGATAAAAATATGAGCTACCACAAGGTGCTGGATAGCGCAGTATTTGCGCAGATAGGTATGCTAAACGGCAATAAGATTGGTGACCGATGTTTTTACTCTAACTCCTCCGTGTTTACGAAGGCATGTTAAGCCATTGATCCCAGCTTCACCTGCAGTTGTTAATGCCCGCCAATACGCACTGGGCACGGTGCACTGGTGGGTTATGGCCCGTACTCACTACGCGATTACATAGCAAATGCATGTGCCCCAGCAGGGGGGACGTTCATAGACTGGTGATGATAAGAATGCATCTTTATTAGTGACTCGTAACATAATAGCAATTAATAAGGTAGAATAAGTATATAAGTGGCATACAGTTTATTGTTTGTTATTTGTTAAGCAACTTTTCGTTAAGCAACTATTGCTTAGTTTGTTGTTAAGCAACTTTCGTAAGGGTCGGTCACGGGATGAGTGACCAAAAAATTATTATCTCGAGCTACTTCGTGCTTGGGAAGGCACGTTAAGCTGTTGATCCCGGCTGCTTTTGCAGTCGTAATGCCCTCCAATCCGCATTTTGCCAGAGCGTGGAGAGTCATGGCCCATCCCCCTTAACCATCCATAAGGAAGGCCTGAGCCCCTGCAGTGGAGACGTAAAAGGGCTGATGATGATGATGAATGAAGTATATTTGAAAATAAGTAGGTATATTAAGAAATAAATTACCTATCGATTTGTATATTTTAAAGTTTGCATATTAAACAAAACTATGTCTATCTCAATAAAAACCAAATCGTTAATACATTTTTGTGTTATGTCAAAATTATAAATTAAAAAAAAAACAGGAACTGAAAAAAAAAATCTCGTTAATTTACAAATCCTGAGATTTTACATCGTTCTCTTCTTTTTTATTTCAGTACTCAACATTTACTTTTTACTTGTCATCCGAAGCTATTATTACAAGATGAACGACGCAAGCCGTCAGCCAGCCATCTACAATACTGCTTAAAGTTAATTACTGGTGACAGTTAATCACTGTTGATTATCACTGATGCACTTAATATACAAATACGTATCAAGCAACTGATTTTGGGAGTTTAGGTTTTGTTATTTTCTGGAATAATATAGAAAATTTAAGGGTAACCATCGGCATATTACCAATGTTGGTAAGAAATATACGAATCACTTATAGTTTCTAGAGCCCATTAGGTATATTATTCCAGTAAACTAGATACAGTAAATCTTCTACACAATTAATTGTTATTTCGATTATTCATGATAAAGTTTTATCTTGTATTATAACTCGATACTGATCGTACATACGTAAAATAATATATTTTACAAGCCGCCTATTAATTGTTTAACAGATAAAACCTTAAAAATTACATTTTTAACTTCATGGTGTTCCATAAGAATATTTTTCTAAATTAGCCACAGTACCTATACACAAAAATTAATATTCCATTAATTTCCAAGTTAACTTTCTTGTCGTCACATTTGTGTTGTGTGATTTCTTTCATTGAATATATGTTATTGTATGTAATGTATAATGAATGTATGTATGTGAAACGCTATTATAAATAAGTAAAATATATCGAGGTATTTTTGAATGATCGTATTGCTTAAATATTACAAATGAACATATTTTGAAAAAAAAAATTGCTACCCATTTGTGATATATTGTGGAGTCTAATGAAGTCTTCCACATTTTCTTAAGACATAAATTTTTGGAAATTTTTATAATATACTATTTAATTAAATGTACAAGATTTTTCACTACCTCTATAATGGTAAAGTACAATTTGTTAAGCAAGTACAAGTTTGAGCTTGTTCTTGCTGTTACATAAATGCATTTAAAAGTTATAAACTGTTCTTTGGAAATATTATTAAACTCTGTTAGTTCTGTATTTTTATAAAGTTATATCTTATATTATTGCCATAGACTTAAGAATTTACCAATCGTTATTTCCAACCACCGACCGTTTTGCTGTTACTATAAAAAAGAAAGTTCTTATTATGTTTGTTCCTGTATTGATATAGAATTAAGTTTTCCAATTTTATTATTATCAATATTTCTCTGTCTAATAATAATTTAAGTTATTTTTTGTACTATCACTATTAAGTAAGTAAAAGCACTTAGAATTGAGAGATCTCTTCGATATTAGATTTTTCGGATGTTATACATATTATAGATCTGATTAATTTAATATTTTTAAGAAACTTGTTATGCCTATACACATAAATAATTAAATAGCTCACATTAAATTCCCATGTTTATTGTTATTATGGACCCAACTTTGTCCTAGTGGGAATCAAGCATATAAATTTTCACATCAGAAAATATTAGAGTAAAATTTTATTTTAAAATCACTAAATCCACATTAGTTACTTATATAGTTAGGAAAGCTTTACTTAAATTGATACAGTGTTATTTGCGGCAGTAACTTTATAAAATGTTATGCAAAAAATTCTTAATTCATATTTTGATCTATTAATATCTTAGGTACTTATTTTAATGGAATAGAAACAGTGGCGTAGCGTGCCTTGGCGGGGCCCCGTATAAAAATTTTATTTATAAAGGGATACAGATTTCTCACAAAAGGAAAATAAATGTTTGATTGAATAACTTTATTATTATAAACTGTGCGTATTTTAATCGTATGTTCATCGATTATTGTGAGATTCCCACGTTGAAGTAAATGACTTAAACGGAGAAATCCAGATGTATGGTGTTGCCAATTTTGAAACGCATGCTTTCATTTCTGAAATAAAAAGAAATTTGGGATGTTTTTATTAATTTTTGCTTACGCACGTTGGGGGCCCCCCTCGCCCGGGGGCCCCATATAGTTGATACGGCATATACGGCGGTAGCTACGCCCCTGAATATAATCTTACTATGATTGATATGAAATTAAGTGCCATTATGTCATGTGCTATTTGCATGTAGTCAAGTACAAATTACTTACATTATTGCACGAAGCAGAAACATATTTCTCGTTTCATGTTAAATTCAGAAGTGCCCAAATGTTGAACAATGTAGTCACTTGAAGTAATTATAATTGCTTACATTTTTTTTCAGATTATTAACAGGAGAATTTATGTTTTTTTATCATAAATTTAGCCTTTTTTATGTTTTTATAATGTGTTGTTATACGTAAATTCGTATGTGAGGAACATTTCTATATTTTAAATGTGATTTGATTATGTAATCGCTTCGTGAATTAATAAATTTCTTAAGAATTTCTTTCTTTTATTTATTTATCACACAAGATAACAAGTATCGCAGGTCACATATTCGCTAAACAATCTAAATTACTTTCAAGAAATCTTATTTTATATTTAAACCAAGGTTATCGCTAGCTGTGTTTATAATAATACGCTTCCATAGGGTGCTTGTAAACGATTAAGAAAACGCGAAGAACTTAGATACCATGGGCGTCATTTTATTATTTAGAATCTTTTTTTTTCATGGCCTTCGTTTCGTTATATACAGAAATTCTGTTAACATCCCGCAGTGAGAGAGACACGAGACTCGAGAGACTGAACTTTAGTTACAATTAACTAGTTCTTCCTTAAGATTGTTCTTTCTTACTAAAAAAAGATAACACAAAAGCAAACATCATTATAAATACGATAGTTTTATAAATACATAAAAGAGAATTTTGCAACATTTTTTGTTACAATTTGATTTTTTTTATTTTTATAAATTTGCAAAGACGTAGAAAGCCGGGTTTGCCAGAAATAGATAGAAGAGTGTTAAAATTAACTGGAAGGGGAGTTTTTGGTGGGACTTGATTATATAGGTAAGGACGGATACTTCTAACTGTTAAAATAAGAATCTATTGCTTACAATTTGTCATTTACATACCGGTTATGATCGTGTTGATTTTTGAAGAATCTATACTAATATTACAAAGTCGAAGAGTTTGTTTGTTTGAACGCGCTAATTTCAGGAACTAGTAGTTTGAATCTAAAAATTATTTTGTGTTGAATAGACCATAAATCGAGGAAGGCTTTAGGCTATATAACATCACGCTGCAACTATTAGGAGCGAAGAAATAATGGAAAACGCGGACGATGTCGCTGGCAGCCACTAGCATTAAATAATAGTTTATTTAACTTTAATTGGATATTTATTATTATTATTAAATTCTTTCTGCAATCTTTCAACTGATTAAGGTAGGTTTTAATTTTGTTTCTTGACAATAAAATCCATCATCATTCGTTTTAAACTGTGGCTTTAAATTACTATCACCACCACTAAATCTTTGAAAAGGATTACGATGTAGATTTCAAGGCTAGTTGACAACTTTTCTTAGTTTATAAATAAGTGATCCATTAATATCTATAATGTACATATATACTAATTTTGCCCGCGACTTCGTCCGTGGTAAAGTTACTTTGAGCACTTTTCTAACAAATATTTATTCATTATATCCTGTAAAATACCTGAAATAAAGTTTCATCCCCTATTGTATCACCTTATGGGTGAAATTTATCAAAATCCTTTTTTAGGAGATGCCTACGTCATAGTAGCTTTATGCATGCAAAGTCTCAGCCCGATCGGTTTAAAATTGACAAAGTATCATACAAACTTTCATCCCCTATTTTTCAAAATCCTTTCTTAGCGGATGCCTATGTTATAACGTCTACCTGTGTGCCAAATTTCAGCCCGATCCGTCAACTGATTTGGGCTGTGCGTTGATAGATCACTATGTCAGTCAGTCACTTTGAGTTATATATATTTAGATTCAAGGCACTAAGTGACGTCACATAGTGCTGGGGTAGCGAAAAACGTATGGGGGTTTGGGTAATCATTATAATATATTGGTTATTTGAGTTTATGTTTATAGCTGTTATAATGATAGTTGTAACGTTTTACGATTTTATAGATTTTATTCTTTGACTTTTACTCTTTCATATATTATATATAGTATACTCTTGAATTTTCTATCGACTACGGCGGTGGCTTGACAAGATATTTTAAATTGAAAATAATTTATTGTAAATCTTTCGTATGTTAATTGAATATAATTGGTTACACGGACCCTAGCTTAAGGATTCACCTTGTAAAGTAAGCAATAAATTATTTATTGGATATTAGGCGTTTGCATTCGGAGTCATAGCTTTACATCAATACTTTTCATTGCTACAATGTAACTAGTTTATTGCCAAATTTTATAAAATTAGTGTCATGAAATTTATTTTATTAAATATTTAGAAGTAAAAATGTTTTATATTTTCCGATTATATAAAAGAAACCTTTATTTTCACTTCTAGGACACAAGCCTAATGAAACTTATAAATAATACAAGTATGAGTTATTCTATCCTTTAGTAAGCTGCAGTTCATTCGTTTATTAAATTTATTTTTCATAATTATTGTTTCCCTTTTTATTTTTTTTTGTCTTAAGTTAAATATATACTTAAATAAAAATACTAATTGCTTCGAGTTCAGCTTTGTACCTGAGATACTCTAAAACAGATTTATTTGTTTAATCTTGATTTAATTCGTCATTTATGTACTGATCTGAATGAATGAATGAATGAATAATAATTTTATTTGCACATATATACTTGACAGTAGCCAATTAAGATGGCGACGCCTATGGCTTATAAAATATCCCGTACTTCTCATCTTCCTTATATTTAGTAATTGCTCAAGTACCTAACACATGACATCATCTAATAATACGAATTAATTTCGATATCGTTTTATTCTATAAACTAATTTCTGACTCCAACTCATTCAGTGATGATGTCAGGACACTAAACGGGAATATAATTTTCCCACACTGTGTACACACGACTTCACGCACACTTCCATAATATGACAAATTCATCAATTGACTATGAACTATCCACAATGAATTAAGGTTATTCATTGTGGATAGTTCAAAATCAAGTGGAGAACTTGGCAGTTCTATGTACCCTGAAGTGCTGTTCACTGTACCTAGTGGGATTTTTATAAATGTACCTGATGCTAGGTAATATTAATATTTATTCAAAT